GGGCGGGCGGGCAGGGGAGGCCTAGCTGTGCGAGTAGAAGCCATAGTAGCCGCCAATGTCCTTGGCGCAGTTCTTCTCACAGTCCCGCTGGGCCAGCACCTCGCTCTTGAGTGGGGACGAGCTCTCCGACACTGGCGTGTCTGCCGGCGAGATCCGCCTCCGCTTGGCCTGCTCGTAAATCCCCGAGTCGCTCGAGTCGATGGACTTGATGGAGGAGGGCGTCTCGATCCAGCTGGAGTCGGACAGGTCCTTAGGCTTGGCGTCCTCGGCGGCGCCGGGCGGCAGCGGCGAGCGCTCGGCGGCCAGGCCCTCGGCCTCCTCGCCCAGGTAGGGGTTGGCGCCGGCCATGCGCGCGGCGGCCGCGGCGCTGTTGGGCCAGCAGGGCAGCACGGAGCCCGACTTGGCGCCGCAGTACTGCGGGGGGCTGCGCGCGCCCCAGCCCGACGGGTCGGCGTAGTAGCCGAGCGGGCGGCCCGTGCAGCCGGCGGCCTGCAGCGGCAGCGCCTTCACACCCGCCGCCGCGTACGACAGCAGCGTGGCCGCATTGCCCGCGAAGTCCGTGGCGGTGTCGTAGGCCGAGGCCGCGAAGTCCAGCCGGTTGTTGGCGGGTGTCACAAACCAGCGCTGCGGCGACGGCGCGCCGGGGTCCTCGGCCTGCTGCGGGGACAGCAGCCCGTTGGTGTGCGGGACGCTGCGGTCCGTCCCCGGCCCGGGGCCCGCGCCTGCACCCGGGTGGAAGCGGGCCTTGGCGTAGTTGCTCACGAACTGGTCCTGCAGGAAAGAGCCAGCCATGGCGTAGCGGGCGCCAGGGACAATCTGCGAGCGCGGAGAGTCGTTAGGCGAAGGGGTCAGACGGTCCATGTCGCAGCCCGTGTAGATCCTGTGGGGAAGGGAGAAAGAGAGAACCGAGGGGTGGCGCGGAGGCCCCTTAGGGTGCAGAAGGGAGAGCCACCTGCATTTTCCACCCTCCCACCTAGCATCTGGGAACTTGCACTTGCCCTACAGGAGACACACCAGCAAAGGTCATCCACCATCCCCAGCCTAAATCCCGGAGTTCACACCAACTTGTCTATGCAGCAACCTGAACAGGTCTCGAAGCTGTAGTCTTCCCTCGGCCCTGGGGCTCTCCATAAATGTACTGGGCACAATGAGACAGGACCACCGCAAGGGCCTCTCATCCTGCTTCTCCAGCGAATGTATACACAGGATGACGATTACCCAGCGACCAAGGTGTATTTGCCCAGTGGGCCTCTCCTCTGTGGTGAAATTCTGAGCGAAATTTCTCAAGAAAAGTACCCAATCTCTTCACCCTTTTAAGACTTCATGCGTCCATTTGATTGTTTGTTAAGGTGATTCCTCATCACCTCTATCTAGATAGTTTAGATGCAAATCCCTAGGGAATACATGAGCAGTTGGGGAGGGGGTTCGCACAAATTCAGACAGTAATCAAAGACTGGCCTTCAATGGCCTTCTGAATCCTGAGAATTTCTGCTGGAAATCTCCAAGGTACTTTTTGTCTATTGTTTCCCTCTTACATGCGCCTTTAATCCTTACCTCTACCAACACAGACAAGAACTACATGAAACAATACACATGAATTGAGTTCTTTTAAAAAAACATGTTCTTTCCCTAATCTTCTCTACCCAGTTTTTGATACATTACTGGCAAAAAAAAAACTTGAGATAAACTCTTAAAGTACATAAATCACCACTAATAACAACCTACCATTAATAACAACTAGCCTTTACACAGCTTAAATGTGTCTCTAGGACTGTACAGACAAGAACTTATTTACAGATGGCACACACAGACTTGTTTAACTCACATAAGTACTCCTATCATCCCACTTTATTTATGAGGAAACTGAGCAAAGGGAAGTTAAATAAGTTGCCCAATAACTGAATTTCCTTAAGTAAAGATTAATTTTAGGGCTTGGGCCTAGAAGGTCCCATAGAATTGAGAAGGAGCCATGGGCTGGATGAAGATTATGAGGACTTCCTCATTCCCATACATACATGCCTCCCTTTTTATTTTGCTCACACATACATGTTTCAATCTTGAGTCAACAGATTGTTTGAAGGAGAGCCTGTGTTATTAGGTCTTATTCCTTTGGGGAAGAAAGTGGCCAAGACACTTCTTAGTACCCCCTGAACTCCTCCCTATTTCACCCAGATCCATTCTTGCCCATCTCACTAGCATGAAGGGGGAAAGGGAGTGTCACCCTTCAGTAGCCCCTAAAAACCTAAGGTACCCTTTTAATAGGTAAAGAAGATTTTTATGAAATCATGCATTGTGACTTAGAAAGGGAAGTGGCTTTTCCAACAGAAGCAGCCATGGAGGGGAGGTGGGGCAGGTGAGAATTGTGACTGCTCAGGTGCATTATGTCTACTGTACAAAATTTCCCTCCTGAAAGCTAATTCCAATTGCAAATAAGAAAAGTGAAAGAAGGCAGTAAGGGAACATAACTAGCAAGGTACAAATAATCTCCTCTGTTTACCACCACAATGTGTTTTTAAAATGATTTTTTAAAAAGCAGTTTGCAAAAGATACAGTTTAGATGCCCATCCAGGTCCCAAGCCACTTGGGATTACTGAGCTGATTTGTGCAAAATAAAATGCTTTTGAACAGATGTTTGTAACAGAATCAAAAGCTCAAAATCTATAGGACTCCCCTCCAATATCTCTGTTCCCTTGGGCCATATTCTTTCAACAGAGTTGGGCCCCCTTTTTAGGTTATGAGAACTAGAGGATCATATTGATTAGAATTGCTTCCTTTGAAGTACTTTTGGGAGACAAATAGATTGCACACAAAATCAGTTTCTTCTACAATATCAAGAGAGGGGGTGGGTATCTGCCTGGAGATCAAATAGAGGCAGCCACCTATGTCTTTTCCAACACAGTTAATCTAGTCCTGCCCCAAAACAGCCTCAACTTTTTAGTTCGATCCCAAGCACTTGATACAAGCCATGAAATTGAAATGTATATACCTTTCTCTTTTATAGTCAGAAAAATGGGAGAACTCCCACATTACCAATTGAGATTTTTCTACATACTATCTGAACTTTTAGGCACTATGTACGTATAACCGTATAACCTGCCATGAGTGAGAATCCAATCCCAGAACCAAAAGCATTTATTTTACACCTACTGCTGCCCCAAAGAACAGCCTTGGGCTAAAAAAAAACAAAAAAGATAAAGATGGATAATAGAAGCCTGAGGAAAGGGAACCAACATATTTAATTAAAACATAGAAATGAGAAGGTATATTTTTTTCCTTTCAAACCTTATAAATAATACACAGCAATAGCATCTTAGTCCTTCCAAGAGCCTAAAATGACTTTAAGAACAGTTCTTCTCATGAACTTGCCTGTGGTACATGCACATTTAAAAATTCAGTCCATAGTAAACTTGCACAGGAAATGCTAATACACAAAACTTGGAAATGGGTAAATAAATGTCACATATGCCAAGGAGACTGTAACAACTGCCAGAGCCACATGCACTTGCAGGCAGAATTGCCCGTTTCAGACACAGACAATCTGAGCTGAGCATCTGCAGCATTACATACAACACCCGCACCCAGGGCAGCTCCCCAGCCAGCCAGCCAGCCCCAGAGGCCTGCCAACAACTTGGGAATTCACAGAAAAACCGAAAAGAGGTGGAGGAAACCTTTGACCCAAACCACACAAATACCAAGCCATAAGGTGGGGTGGGGGACCAAAAAGAAAAAAAAGCAAGAAAGGATACATTTCAAACCATTCTATCCTCACATATTTTTTAACTTCCAAAAGTCTTGAATACAACAGTCTACCCTTGAGCTAAAGGCCAACTCAACAATTATTCAAGAAGGAATATGCAAAATTACTTACGTGTCATAATTATCTCGGAATCCCTTTGCAAAAGGGTTGTGGTCTATTTTCAGTTGTGTAATCTGAAGAATCAAAAAAAGGATGGTTGTGATTTCAATTTTATACAGGAAAGTTCTTTTTATTTTTTATTTTTGAGAATATATAGTCTACCACGTTTTACTGGGGCTTAAGGCTTGTAGTTCTGTTGGGTTTCCCTAATAAAATATTCAGAGAACAGATGGAAAGGAAAAAACAAGAAAGTATCATGAAAGTTCTGAGAAACATGTTTAAATTAATGACACCCTAAAACTAAAGTATTGCTTTTAATTAACTCTCCTTAAACAAACATTTTAAAATTAAGTCTCATTTTAAAATGCTTGTTACACACAATGCACTTACTTAGACAAAAATTGTTCAAGAACTTGAGTTTATTGTTAAATATTTCCATTATGAAATGTTTCACCATATTTTAAGAAGTTGGCCAAGTCTGATTTACAACTTGAGAAGTCAACAAATTGCATCATAAAATAAGGTTTGATCTAAAATAACGTGTTTTCGTTTCTGATATTTTTAAGAACACAGAAACACAAGAAACTTATCACTTCTAGAAAGTCCAATCAGCTATTAAAATCATGTTTTGGTGAACATGCAAATACCAAACAAGCTCAAGTGATAGACTCCCCTCCCCAACCCCTCCCAGATCCCAGTAGTTTGATTTAATATAGTTTTCACATATATAAATGTGTATTTTGAGGCCCCTCAACAGTGTTGCTTGCCATTTCAACCATAATTTCTTAGATTTTTTTTTTGAAAAAAAGAATAATTTAGATGCCAAAGCAGGCCAAAAGTAAAACTAAGCCGGGGCAGGAGGGTGGGGGTGGGGCAGGGGGAATCTTCCCGTTTCCTAAAGGAAAGGGTAGAAAGAGAAAGAAAAAAGGGAGGGAGGGAGGGAGGAAGGGAGGTCAGACTATCTGTACTAGTTGGAGGACCAAATTAAAACTCTCAAAAGAAGAGGCCCCAGAAATCCTGGCCAACTCACATGTGGTCCAAGTGACAAATCGGCATTAGCCCCTAACCTAAGCTCAGCAGAGCCAGCTGTTGCTGCTGTTAGCTGGGCTAGTATGAAGCCCAAGAGAGCCAGAGGATACGGAGGGTGCGGGACGCGAGCGCGCTGGCCCCGCAGCTCGCCCATCCCCTAGGCCTGCTTACATCGGTGTTCTGGTAGGCGGTGACAGCGATGAACTGAGTCTCGGGGAAAGTGAATGTCTGCACGCGGCCCGGCTGGCTGGTGTCCTCGGTACCATCTTCGTTCACTTCCACCACATGCAGGCGGGGCTGGTACTTGTGCAGGGATTGTAAAACCACCATCTGTCCAGCGAAGAGAAAGGAGAGCGTCGGGCTGTTTACGTCCGACCGCTCGCCCAGGACCGGGTGAGCTAAAGTGGAGCCTGTCGCCCCAGGTAACTGTTTTGGGGACTGGCGTCACTGGTGACCAGCTGTCTAGGACAGACTGATGGTCCTCGCACCTCTCCGAGCCAGGGCGCTCCGGCCACCGGAGGAAAAGCAGCCGGCTGCTGCGAAGCCTCGGGCCCTCCGCTTCCTCCTTTAAAGAGGAACAAAGATCTCACTCCACCTGCAGCTCTGGTGGATTTCCTTCCCCGGACCAGTCACTATTTGTCCTTGGGAAGGTTCAGTTCTGGTATTAAGCCAGGATGGGGGCCGAGGAGAACAACCTCATAAACCTAGTAGAATTTGAGAGGTTCGAAATCGCATTTTAAAAGTCTCTAATGAAGCAAAGAAACTGCCCAGTTTTTGCGTGCTGCTTTGAACTGTGTGTGGGATGGGGGAGACGGAAACAGAGACCCCGAGAGACATGCGCTTGGAACCACTAACCTGCCCATTGTTGTTTGAAGCTCCTTTGTTGTTCGTAAGTTTTAATTTTCCAAAAGAAATTTCTTGGCGCATCCAGTGAGCCCCAGTATTAGGAGAATCCGGATGCATATAGACCCGATTTCCTAGAGAAAGAAATACGTTCTTTGCATATGCCCCCTGGCACTGCCCAGTCCCAACTCCTCACAACACAGCACACACACACACACACACACACACACACACACACACACACACACACCTTAGTCTATTGTGAGGCCCATTTACTGGGGCTTTTTGAGGCTGTACTTTCTTCCTATTAACTGGGGATGATTAAAATAGCTTTTGCATAATCCTCCCCCTTCTTGCTGTCTCTGTCTGTCTGTCCCCTTATCCCCCGCGTCTCCTTTAAGGAGTCATTGGCCGATCGTTTTAAAAGTCGCTCGAACCAGTCCACAAAGGCTTTAATTAATCATTCTCACCTAAATAAGTGTCAAGGAAACGTGTTAATTGGAAGGACTTGCCTTGCACATTGGTGTCCGCTTTGCCGCAAGGAACCCATTTGCCTCCTTGAAACCTCCAGTGATTGGGATCGGCCAAAATCACATCCACAAAAATATTGTAATGAGCCGTGGGATCGAGACCAGAAATGTTAAAACTTAAAAAAGGAAACATGCGCCTATTCAAATGAAGAGGGGAGAGAAAACAAGGGGTGGGGGGGGGGAGAAAATAAATGTTAAAGATAAAATGCAAGAAGCGGGGCGCCAGATAGCAAAGCAAAACTTGTTCTCACAGTAGATGAACGAATGTTTGCTAATCTAGAAAAGAGACGGTGGGAGAGGACAAATGAAGTGGGGCCAAAGTCGGGGAGAACCGCAAACAAGCTGTAGTGGGCACTCGGCAGGTTCCCCTCAGCTCGCAGTGGAAAGCGCTCTAGGGCGACCTGCGTCTCCACCTGTCCGAAAAAAGACCGGTGTCGAAGCGTCCCTCCCTTCGCTCGGCAGCAAGCCGCGGCTCCTCTTCCTCTTTTCTCCCCTTTCTTCCGCCACTTACTGGCTCTCGGAAAGCGTTTTTCCGGAGAGCTCTCTCCCTCTTAACCTCCCCGAGGTGGTAATCCCTTCCGCGCTTCCCCTATCCAAAAACCAGCCAACTCCAGGGCGCATCTGAGCGCCATCCATTCTGCTCCCGACCCCCCAAAAATCGCTGCTGCGGCGGCGGTCACAACCTGGGTGTGCTTGCCCTGGGTCACGCCTGGAGCAGCTGCAGCCAAGAATGGAAGCATTACCTTCCCTGTTTGGTGATGATCATCTCCGTCTGGTGCCGGTGAAATTTCAGCCAAAGCGGCCTGTTGCACAGATACACCTGTGCTTTGCCGGGCACCAATCCGGGCTGGGTAGAGGAGAACTGGTAGAACGGGGCTCCTTGGTAGGAGTGGCCGTATTGCTGTGGGTAGGGGTATCCCGCCGTGGGGTAGCCCTGCGGTGAGGAGTTGGACAGGAGGCTGTTGTAAGCTCCATTGGTGATGACCGGATGGTGGGCCATGTAGCGACTGGGGCTGCCGATGGAGAAGGCGGGGTGCGCCGGTCCGTGCTGGCCGGGGTACGGGAACATGGCACTGGGAGCAGTGGCCGCAGACTGTGGCTGGCTGGACTGAGAGAGGAGGTAGCGATCTGCAGCAGAGCCATCGAAACTGTGACGAAGCTCAGAGACCCCGTCCAAGACAGGAGAGAGTTTACTTCTCTGGACGTCCCCTGGTGAGTCCTTGGAGTCAGGAAAATTGTCTGTATCTGACTGATTCGTCATCCCCCTGGTAATTTTTTTCAAAGGTGAACTTCTCTCCAGGTTGTCAGTGGTCGAGATAATGGGATGATCGTGCAAGACAAGCTCAGATCCGCCTGAATGTGGGTAGCTGCTGCTCACATTGAGAAATTTCTTGGAGAGCATGATAGAAGGAGAAAGGCAATGCTCCAGCTGCATAGCTCTAGAACCTGAGCACTCACCCTCCCGTCCCTGGTTTTTAAAGTCCTATTTATCATAAACTAGAAATCCACAGACCCCCTCACTAGACAGAAAGCACTTCAACCAGCAAATGCTTCTCAAAGGTTTGATTTACTTTTTTTTTTCCCTGGGAGAAGAGATTGGCCAATTGACACTATGCAGCAATCAGAAAAGGCTCACTTTTGATCTTGCTGCTTATGCAGCCGATGAAACGGCTCCTGCCATTGGTTAACTGCTGACAGTAATTTAATTAGATAGACATTAATTAGGATAATCACCTGGCTCCTGGTCGCGACGATCGTGGCAAATTGAAGGGGATGATTTTATTGTTGGCTTGAGGGGTGGGGAATGTGTGCTGGTTTACGTGAGCTCTGTTGTGTCACCTTTAAGCTTTGTGACCACTGCTTTAGGAAGATTCAAAGATGTGCAATTTACTAAACATTTTCTACCCCCACCCCCACCCTTCCCCACTTTAGAGCGGAGGAGGGAATTCGATGATGCTAGGAGACTTTTCAAATCTGAATGAGCCAAATATTCAGTTGAATGTAACGATTTCAAGTGCAAAGTATACAAAGCATGAGCCGGTGGCCTCTTCTCGCCCTGTAAAAGTTCCAGAGTCTGTCTTTTCCAGTTAATACAGAAGCACACAACACCTGAGTGATGCTTTGTGAGTAGGACCTGCGTGTCCTTGACACCCCTTCCCCCATCTTTTAAACTACATACATAAATAATCACTGCAGTGGAGAGCCACAGCGTTGGTGGGGATGGGGATGCGGGGCGAAGTGGGGGCGAAAAGCAGCAACTCATCCACCCATCCACCCACCTCGGCAAAGGTTCGGTTTCTTGGTGGAACACAGATACAGTGACAATCTATGATCTCTCTCTCTCTCTTTTAAGTTTTGAAATAATCATAAGCTGTAGGGCTGAAGTGTCTTAATGTATTTGCAGTGATGTTTACCAGGTCTTTACTAAATATTTTATCAGCCAACTTGGTTGCGGATCTTTTGAAGAGCATCTAACTGGGGGCAGACGCCATGCATCCTTGAGTTCCCCTGCGCTTTCTTCTCTGGGAGGTACTCGCTTGGCGACCCTTTCAAAAGCCTCACCAGTTAAAGAGGGCCCAGTTCGCGGGGTAAATGGGTTCGCTAGAAGAGACTAAAGGAAGTGGTGTCAGCCCAGCGCAGTGATCCTAGTTGCCTCTGTGTGTGTGTGTGTGTGTGTGTGTGTGTGTGTGTGTGTGTGTGATGTTTATATAATTCGGAGAGGAGAGAAAGAATCCATGCCAGTAATCTTAAGAGGAGTAAAGAACCAATTTAAAGAAACGTTGGCACAAATACATAGCACGAGGCCCAAAGCAAGTCTGGAGTGTAGGGAGATCTCTCAGTACCTGCTCTCCACTGAAGAGTCCAGCCGTTGGCCGGAACCAGCCAATAGCACCAGAGGCTTTATCCGCCCCAAGCTGGTTCCCGCGGCGCGGCCCTCGCCAGCCTGCCCTCCCGCAGCTTTCTTCCCGGACGCGGAAGGGCGCGGGAATGAGAAGGAGCGCAGAGCCGGCTCGGCTCTGCCCAGAGAGCTGGCCGAGCACCGGGCTCCCCAGGCACCGGGCGGGCTCCGCCTCGCAGAGCCAAGAGCGCGTCAGGCGACCGCGTCTGGCAGGGACCCCAGAGGCTCACACTCTCCCCGTGCCGCAGGCGCTGGCCTGGGCATCTCGACCGGGTGGAGCCTCTGCCTTCCAGCCAGCGGCCCCTTCCCCCTCACCCCGCACCCCGGCCAGGGAGAGTGGTGCTGGGGACACTGGGTGGGTGGGTGGGGGGTCAGAGCATGGATGGGCAGACGGGTTAACCAGATTCGCAGCTGTGCTACCATTTAGAGCATTGCCATTGACCTACCGGTCATCACCGAGTCCAGACTGCACCACCCGCGCGAGGCAGGCTGGGCGCCTTGGCGGCAGAGGGCACCAGCTGCGGCGTCCGGCAGGGCGCCGCGAGCAAGGCCCAGCAGGCGCGGCCCATGGTGGGACAGGTTGATGACCAGATGTCTCCGATTCAAGCCCAGGCTATTTTTCTGGGAGAAAAATGAATTCGGATCCATTTTCCATTTGAAAGCAAACCAGCTCCAAGCCAGGAAGCTTCATAAACAAGCAAGATCTTAGCTACTGAAACCCTGGGACGCCAGGGAAGGGAAGAGCTGTGATACCATTTGACACTTGTGGTCCTGCCTTTGACCTTCCACCATTCGTCCTCCTGAGAGGCCTTCTGCCCCATTTTGGCCACTTGTTTTCTCCTATCTTCCATCAATTTCAGTCCCCAGGTGCTTCTCCCTCTGTGCTTCCTATCTTATTCTTCCCTCTGTGGTAAACAATCTTAAGTATGAGACTACCTGAGCTGCTCTTAAGGTTTTGCTATTCGGACACCCTGCACTGGCTTTTTTTTTTTAAAAAAAAAAGAGGAAAAAATTAACATTAAGGTGTTAAAAGGATAGAAACCAAGTATACCTTCCTGTTTGGGATCATCAATATAAAATTCAGTGGCTTCTCACATACAGGTTCTGCCTTGAAATTTATATTATGACAGTGCACCTTCTAGAGACCAGTTCTCATTTTAAATGGCACATGAACCATGCTAGTAGTCTTGTGACTTTCAAGTCTGGGGTGGGGCTTGGAATGAATACATATTTATTTATACATAAATAGAACAAGCTTCCATCCAGGTGTTATCCTGGTAGATCATATTTTGAATCGTGGATCTGTAGCTTTCCATGTCCCATACAAGTCTGAGAAGAAAGCAGGAATGTCTCTAGTGGCAAGTATTGTTTCTGGAGCTGCTTTAATTATTCATAGTGATGAGTAACCATGTTCACATAAGCAAACCTGTGCAGACGTACATGCATGTACACATACCTTATTAAGCTTGTGATTAAACATTTTAATGCTAACTGGCTTCGGGACATCAGGTAACTGTTGCTAATACAGTTGTACATGCCTAGACAAAGGTGTTTGCTGAGAATCTCCTTCAGACTCCTGATTCTGCCTTTTAATTCTAGAAAGAAAACGTAGGTTTTTGCTACTTGTAGCAAAGAGTAGCATGGTGACAAAGTTCTGAATTCAAGACTGTTTACAACATGAACTAAAGAGAAGGAAGTTGTATATTTCTATGAGGAATACAGGAAGATCAGACACTATGGAAGCTTTCCCAGTCATGATACCGTATTCAGTATTTTCAGGAAACAGTGAAAAACAAAACCAGACCACATCTTCCAACTTGAATACTGAGACCATCCCTAAAAATAATGAAACTTCCATCTAAAGGCATGCTGTAACAAAAAAACAACAAAAACAATAATACCCCTATATTTATTTTTATTGTAAAGGTGATGTAAAGGGGAGAAGGATTAAGAGTTACACAAGTCAGGTAATGAGTAATTTCTTATTTTTTTTTGAGTAATTTCTTTTTGAATGGTATCACCTCTTCTGTCTTTTCTGTTTTTCTCCCCAAATCCCCCTTTCTGACAGCAAGTTGTAAGAGGACTGCAATGAAGCTCATTAGAACAGCAACTTGTATAGCATGCACCAAGCTCTGAGTTCAATCCTCTGCTCAAATTCAAAAGGAAAAAAAATTCCGATCACATGAAATAATATTTATCCAAATGAACTCCAGGAAATGGAAACAAGGGTTTTTTTTTCCTATGTTGCTATTTTCCTCTTTTCCTTTTGTCTTATTTACCTGTCTTTGGGAAGGTAAGAGGGGGGGGGCACAGAAATGGAGGGACAAAATGTGAACAAATGCAGAAGTGATACTAAATACTACATTGAAAATGAACTATACAGCTTGTAGGAGAGAGTGAGAAAAGGGTAACACTATCCAAAAAGAAATATATTGTTTATCTGTCTTCTGTAACTGTAACCCTTCTGTACACCTTTATAATAATAAAAATACATGAAAAAATCCCTAGCTATTACCATCAGTATCTGTGAAATAAACTATAGAAAGGAAAAAATACTGTACGTCCAAAAACATTAGCTCAGTATCATGGTGCATATCCATAATCCTAGGTCTTGAGAGCTGAGGCAGGCAGATGGTATGACACTAGCCTGGGCTACATAGTAACACGACCTCAAACAAACAAACAAACAAAAAACAGAGATGTTTGAATGAGATTCTAACTTATATTTTACTTGATGTTCTTTTTTCTTTGAGACAAGAGTTTGCTATGTAGTGGCTTGTAACTTACTAGGTAGCCCATCCTGGCTCAAACTCTTGTCTTATCCTCCAGAGTGCTGGGATTAGAGATGTACACTACCACACTGTTTATCTTCCATTTAAATAGTTAAATGTAACTTAAAAACACACACGCACATGTACACACACACAATAAGAATATACTATTATATCTAAAGAAAAAACTACAGGAGTAGGAAGTGTTGGAACACCTCTTTCTACCAAAAAATGACATTACAATACATAGGCAGTTCAAGTCATTTCTACTTTGTTTCTAACTTCACTGAGTAACAAGAGCCTAAAATTAATCAAGTAGGACAGGACTTTGGTCTACCACTATATTCATAATATTCCTAGCCTTAAGTTGAAAGTCTCAAGTAAAACTTTTCTTTGATGGAGACTTGGAAATATTCCCACAAGGAACAGCACATATTAACATTAAATCTTTACCTTCATACCTTTTGCCATACTCCTTGAGGTGGTACCCGTATGTTGGGTACCATGAGTATTACAATTAGAAAAAGGTTGAGGGTTTGAAGTCTTCTATGAAAACTGGCATTATTCAAAGGATTTCTCTCAGAAAACAGTACTTCTAGGTTAATTTGGGAGAGATGTGAGAAAAATTGTTTATGAAATCATTGTACTATGAACACAGATTACTTTTCTCACTTTGCTTTGAAGACATTATATACCTCCATGACATTCTTAGTTGAAAATCTAGTGGTTCCCAGCAGTCAATTTCAGACACTTTCAAATCTACTGGTTGAATGTACTCTTTAAAATATGATAAAGCCTAAATTACAAGTGCCCTCCTTTTCTTTTTAAATGTATCCCTCTGAAATCCTAAGAGTATAATATGTTAGGATCCTGAGTACAATGCTAGCTTGTGAGAATTTTCTTAATAAAATGTCAACTTTTTGCTGGGTTATTCACTTAATGAGGTAGCCACTCATTAATGGCAATCATTTTGCATTTGTGAAGTTTTGTTATCACACTGATGTTTTATG